CATTCCATTTGACTTCCGTTTCCCCTATTTTCGTTGTACACTGTTACGGTGCTTTATATCGACTAAAACCAAAAGTGTACAAAATTTCCACAGCTACTCATAAATATTGTATTTTTATAGTGGAGGTTCCTATTTGCACACTTTCCACCGCGCATACATACATACAAACATACCGATAAACATTCATATATAATATTTAAACACTTAATTCTCTGCTCACTCACTTCTGAGTTTGTTTAACAACTGAAGCTCTGTGGCCACTCAAAGTGGAAAGCACTCATAATAATTTTGCAGGTTACACACTGTTATTGCATTAAATCTGTGCAGAGAACAAGTGGAAATATACACGAGTTAATAATAATATAAATGTTCCTCCTTGTTGCTATTCAAGGAACAAAGAGCTCAAGAAGCATCCTCTTTTGCTCTTCAATGCTTTTGAGTAAACTTAAAATTGGTTTTTCACACTCAAAATGTTCTCTCACTCAATGCGCGAAGTGTCGGTGGAACGAGTTTTGGTGCATTGGCTCTGTATATAAATAAATACATATGGATTTTTGTATATAAGGAAAACTGCTGGCAGCTTGAGACCGGCATGTGAGCGCTGAACAGCTGTTTATGAAAGCAGCACAGCAGAGTGACAAGAAGTAACGTGCCCCTTTTTCTGCAAATTGAAAGCGAAGAGAGTGAGTGAGTGAGTGAGTAGAGCGTGAGCAGCATGCAGACTTTCGAAACAGCAAAGTAAAAAAGGAACTCCCAACATATATTTAACTTACATACATACATATACATATATATACCATCCTTAAGCAAAAATAGAGGTTTCATGCAATTCATTATTTTCCAGAAATATTTTGTTTCTATTTGTTTTATTACTAACTTTTTTTGGCATTTTCCTGTAAATTTTTGTGCCCACATTTTTCATTCATCTCATAACCCCATCAAAGCGAAGTAAGATTAAATGCAATTTTCTTCCTCCGTCAGTTCGGTAAGTTTTGCTGTTATCATTTGATAGATTAAGCTAAATTTTTTAATTGCGGTCGCCCTCGGCAAGGAATGTCAACTCTCCGATTGTATTTCTGACATGAAATGAAGTTCCTCTTAAAAAAAAAAAATCAGCCGTTCGGAGGAGGCCTAGTATAAAGTCTAGGACCCTCCATTTGTTGGAAAAAACGTCGACGGAAAATCGCTTCAGCGGTTACAAAACACAGTTATATATCATATATTTGATAGAAAGTTTCTTATTTATATTCTTTGTTTCCGGTAAGTCATCCTCGAATTAAAAATATGGTTTTTTGTCAAAGTTGAAAATTGTTTACGCAGGGCTCATGCTTAGCAGGGCGTTTTGCATTACTTTCAATGGGAAAAATTGTCATCATAATTAATGTCTGACATAGTTAGTATTATTAGTATTGCTTCTGCATCGTCTGTTGTCCTATAGAAAAAAAAAAATTTCCATTTATATCAACAATACGCCTTGAAGTGACGTTTATGATCTAATCGGATATTTCGAAATTTAAAAAAAAGGTTAAATTCTGTCAAACAAATTTTGTTGGACTATATATTTTTAATTTATTATCGAGGTTACTTTTCTCTTCCGAAAGGGTTACTCACTGCAAGAAGTATCCTCGTATTTAATTTTTTAAACACTTCAGTTACAGATTTTTTACTTGATTTATTTTTTTTTTTTTTTGCTTTTCTTGAAAAAAGTTATATTTTCTTCCCTTCTTATATATCCACTTATCCCTTTTCTTTTTACCCAAAATTCTTACGTAATTGTACCTTATTCTGTACGCCAACTTGATTAAATTTGATTCCCCCCTTAACATTGGTCTGTTATTTCGAAAATTGCACCAATCTCCTCTCAACCGATTTGACGAACCTTTGAATTTCAAAAATGTTGATAAAAAAAATTTCATACCCGTGAATGTTGTACAAACCTAATGTCCTCTCCAAGTAACACATATGAACATCTCGCATAGCCAATGCTTCGAAAACTGACATATTTCAGCAACCACTCTCTCGCCGTGCTCCTTGTGAAACGAATAAAAGTCATGCGTACGACTATGCAAATGTATGAAAGGTGACCAGAATTTTTATATTTTCAAGGAATATGAATTTGTGAAAATATTTACTACAGAATATGGGAGATATGTAAAATTGGACCACATAAGCTTCAAAAGTATTTTCATAAATTTTTTTTTTAACTTTCAATTTTCATCTACTTAATCGTAAGATTAGCTTTTTGTTAAAAAAAATGTTATATATATAACTGGCACTAAAAAATTTAATAAAAAAAAAATTATTTTAAATTCAAATCTCAACGAAATTTGGTAAAAAAATTGTCTACAACACCGAACTTAAAAATTCCCTACGTTCTATACGCCTGCATTACGTCTTCTGTGAAGTAGTCTTTGTTGTTGTTGCGGTTATGTTGTGATATAACAGTACGATAAGGTGATTGCAGGCGATTTATCAATTCAAGTCCACCGTGTGGATGGATTATGTAAGTTTTGAGGCAAGTCAAATACACACATACAAGAAAAGTGCTCACATTCATATACGTACATACATACATACATGTATAGGTCCATATGTGCATAAAACAGTGGAGAAAATGAAATGACAGAAAATAATGAGAAATATTAAACGCAAATACATGCAGGTATGCGGATAATAAATGTATGTAAGTGTATATATGTATATATATACATGTTACATATCCATAGGTAGGCATGCGTGCATGTAAGTTCTTACGATTGTTGCATGTCGTACAAAATATATATGCATTTACACCTACATACATACATATGTACATATAGACAAGTGATTTTGTATGATTTTTGTTTTCACTGTTGCTGCATATCACCTGTGAAAAAAAATGTTTATATGTATGTATGTATAAATATGTTGGCTCCACAGCCCTGTAATTGCTGTGAGATGCGTGCAACAAAGGTCATGAATAAATTGCCATTTCGAAATGAGATTTGTTTCCTTGATTTTACGTCAGCATTTGTAATGTCTCGTCGCCTCTCCTCCACACAGACACATACACACACATATGTACATACATATATCACGAAATGTGCGGCTTGGTGCGCCTCCTTTACTGAATTACTATTTTTTTTTTTGTGCAACTGCAAAAGGGCGGAGTTTTGTATACGTACGTATAGGTATGTGTAAACCTACATATAATTTAATTGTATTTTAGTTATTTTTTTTTTGTAAACGATTGCTACCAAACTCTGCTAGACTTTTCATTTACCTTTTTTGTGCCTACAGATGTATGTATTGTACATATGTACGCTGGGCTAGTCAATGCGTCGGTGTGGCTGATGAAATATTTTTCATATTTTCAACCAACATTCAACATATCCTAATGACAAATCGCATGCAATTTTGTATACAATTTTTTATTTTTTTTTTTTTGGTAGAATTATTTCACACTCTGGTAACCACAAGCGACTGGTTTGAAATGATGAAGTAAAATATTTTTTAAACAAAATAAATTGAAAAAAATATATAAATTGATTTAAGAAAAATAAATGAATTAAAAAATAAGGATTAAATTAATTAATAAATTAAATGAAAAATAATAATAAATAAACAAATATGCAGAAAAATTAAAATGAAATAAATAAATTAATGAATATAAAATAAATTATGACAAATAAAGTAAAAGAGCAATAAAAAACATAATAAATTATATTTATTGAAATAATAAAAATTAATTAAAAAACAAAATTCAGCAATAAAAAACCCATTAAAAATAAATGAAATTAAAGTAAAACAAAGTAAACATATAAATTAAAATTGATTAAAAGGAAATAAAAAATATATTACAATCAAATTAAATAAATTAAAATAAGCTAACCGAAATAATGTGAAATAAATAAAATAAACAAAATAAATTAATTGTATGAATTAAATTAACTTAATTATATATGAAAAATTAAAAAAAAATATGAAAATAAAGCAAAACATTAAATGGAATAAAAACTACGTTAATATTAAATACATATAAAAGCTAAAAATAAAAATAGCTAGAACAAAATTTAGTAAAATAATATAAAATAAACAGAAATGAAACTAAAAATCCATATAAGAAATAATAATATAAAAGAAATAAAACGAGAAAAGAAAATTAAAAATATAAAATATAAAAAGAAAAAAATTAGTATAATTAAATGAAACAAAATATAATAAAACAAAATGAAAATGTTGGTAAAATACAATAAAGTAAATAAAAATTAAATAAAATAAAAATTTTAAATTAAATAAAATTGAGTATTAAAATTAAAATAAAAACAAAAAATATTAAAATTTTAATAAACTAGTGCGAAAATTCCCAAACTTTTCTTTTTTTAATGAAACTCAAATTTTCATGCTCTTTTTTTGAATGATTTATTTTGCACAATTAATTTTACTTGATATCCATATCGTTGTTCGCTATATTTCTTTTTTCTTTTCAAAATGATATTTTTACTTTTATCACTTAATTGGTTTTTTCTCGATTTTGAAAATATGTTAGCTGATTTTGGCTATATGTATGTATGTCTATGTATTGATTGAGTATTTTAATTATTTGTTTTTGGATTAAAACTGTGATAATTTTACTTTTTATGAATTAGTTATGATATTTTTGATTTAATTTCAAACATTTAATCAAGTTCCAATAAAATCAAATAATAAAAAAGATGGCGGAGGCGCTTAAAAGGTAGTTTCGCTTTTTAGAAACAGAAGAATGCGAAGCTTGTGTGCTATGTAAATTATATATTTAGGTAGTAGAATTTTCCAAATGTTCAATGAAAACAAATATCTTGCAAAAAGTCTCATTTTGGACAGTTTTAAATAATTCTTCTAAAATGCCATTGGACTATTTCTTATTTAAATTTTAAAATTTTAAATTTTTAAAATTTCAAATTTCTGAATTTTTATGTAGAATTTGCTGATTGGTAAATCTAAAACTTAATATAAAATAAATTCAATAAAAAAAGTAATAATTTCAAATTTCGTTTCAATTTTTATTTCTACAACTTTTATTTCAACTACTCTGAACCAAAACGATATACTCATTTTTCGTTATCTATGTTTTAATGTCTGTATATATTTAGTAATATGTGGCCATAAAGTTCTCACGGCAAAACTTTTTTTAGCTTTCTTTTTATTACTTCAATTTTTGCTATTTCATTTCACAAATATTTTTTTTTTTTTAGTTCATTTGGCATTTTACAATTCATGTACATATGTTTGAGTTTTCAAATAGGTATTATATGTATGACAGCTAAGTATTTGTTATTCGTCAGCAAAATATTTTACGGTTTCAAAATACATGCGATGCTCTGTGTGTGTAGGTATATATACTTTTTTAAATATCAATATTAATAGCTTAAGTGCTTTGTTCTTCGAGTTAATTAGTTTTTGCTCGCTATTTAGTCGTTGTGTAAAGAACTTAAAATATTTATATGCAATTCAAAAACAGTTTCGTTAAAAAATTTTTAAAACTAGCTTTTTATGACTTAAAATGTGTGTGACTTGCACGGCAATTTCTTGGATGTAATTGTATTGTATTCATACATACATAAATTTATGTATAAATTTTTATTCAGACGGTTTGCAATTGCAAATTTTTCAGTTTGTAGTTATTTAAGAATTTTATTTGTTGTAATCGGCAGTCAAGCAAATCATTTAACAGTCACTTTCAACTAACTATCATCTATAGTTTAATTATAATAATAATAATAATAATAGTGTAATAATCGCAAAGCGGATAAATAACACGAGCAATGGTTTGTGGCTGCAATTCGGAGCTGTCCAGACAAATACGTACAGTCTGCAGGCAAGAGATCACGACTGAGTTTTTATTTAGCAAAATAGTGAAGTTTTTTTTTATAATTATTACTATTGTTTATATTTTTCACTTCGCTGTGCGACACGAAAGGACGAGTAAATTAGTCGATACGATTGCAAGCCACAAACCAATGCTTCACCAACACCATGAATTCCAAAAAAAAAAAAAATTAAATAGTTATTTTTCTTTATTTTAAAGCTGCTTACTGTTGTTGTTTTATAGGTATTTATTTGCCTATATTTTAATAAATCCTAAATTGAAATGACTATTTCGATTATATACGAGAGCGTTTGCGGGAGGAGTATGTGTAGGGGCAGCTTTATTTTAAGTAATTGCAAGCAAAAATTATTAGCGGTTCAAAAAGCGAGTGAAAACATGGTTACACTTAGCCAACGATTTTTCATGAATTTTCAAAACTCTCATTCAGGATGCTCTGTGAAAACGCATGACCCACTTTTATCCGACAACTTTTTATTACATATTTTAGTTCTGAATTGTTTATTTTTTCTCATAAAAAAATTAATTTCACATTACTCCCGCAAACACGCCGCAGTAGCTTTTCCAAATTTCTTTACATTTGTTTGAATACTAAAGCGTCGACTTAAATCATAAAAATTATTACAGCGCCTATTACAGCAATGTAAAAAAAACATACTTTGTTTGTATTATTTATTTACGCACATCTGTCTGCAGATATGCGCATATGCATGCATTACAACAGGATAATTTGCATGAATACATTTATTTATGACTCAGCTGTAAATGAAAATGTTAAACAAAAATCATTTGAATTACCTCATTAATAGTGACTATTTTCCTTTAAATATAAGCATTAATCTTCAAAAGCAGCATATAACTTAATACAAAATCAAAAAAAATTATCGAGTATTTTCGCAGTTTTTTTCTTCTTTTCATTTAATTTCATTGTTGCAAAGAAAATTTACATCGATATTTTATCAAAGAAATATTCTATTCGTTTATTATTAGTTAGGAAATGTATTTGCTTTTGTGTGTTATGTACTATCAAACATACACAAGCACATAATAAACTGTGTATGGCATTCACAAAATAGTTGCATATAATACATACATATAATATTAAATATATTTAATTATTATTTCATTTAGAGTATGATAGCTACTACATACATATATGCATATTATGCATTTATCAAAGTTTAATTTCTATATAGTATAAAGCAGTTTGCCAACACAGCAGCACGCATTTTACATTTCGGCCATCTACTCATACTTATAAATTACACAATTCACATCTTACTGTCCCTTAATCAGCATACTCAATTCACATATTTTTCTATAGTCTATGCTACCAGCAATTGTTGTTCTTAGTTTTTGTTTAACAATATTTATCAATACATATTTATTTAATTTTTTTAAATAGTTGCTCCTAAATATATCACTTTTCAAAATATTTCCCTTCAACGTATTTGTTCGTGTTCAAATTCCTTAAACATTTTACATGAACATCGCTTCCTTGTTTCCATCCCTAGTTCTATACGCATTCTTCCTCACCATATTCGGTCCATTGTTCATCCAGTGAAAGTTGTTTTTTATATGGCGGCGGCGTACGTGTTGCGCTGTAGAATGAAATTATTGAGAAAAATTAGTTAATTTTCGTCTTATTTTTCAGCATTTGGTTAACGAATGCGTATAAAATGCAAATAAAATGCTGTAAATGCAATACAAAAGAGAATATATATGAAATTTAATAATTAATGCTATTAGTGTATGAATATTGTGGTATATTAACGCTTTTAAAATTTAGTTAATTCGTAATTCTTTGAATATAAATTTTGATTTCTTTGATATTTTTATATATTTTAGCAATAAATAATTTAGTTTAATTTTTTATGTTAGTTATAATAAAAATTTGTACATTCTTTATTTTATTTTGATTTTATTTATTTTCCGTTTTATATTATTTTAATTTATATTATTTTATTTATATTTATTTTAGTTTCATTCATTTTAATTTATTGCAATTTACTTTTATTTATTTTAATATCACAATTCAATGTTTGCTTATTTTAGTTTTACTTAACTAAATTTTTTCTATTTATATTTGTTTTATTTTGCGTTGATTTATTTAAATTTTACTTATTTTATTTCATTTATTTTATTTTTTTTTAATTTAATTTATTTGATTTTATTTTATTTTATTTTTATTTATTTTATTTTAATTTAATTTATTTTATTTTTTTTTTTATTTTGTTTTATTTTTATTTATTTTATTTTTATTTACTTTATTTTATTATTATTTATTTTATTTTTAATTACTTTATTTTTATTTATTTTATATTATTTTTACTTAATTTATATATATTTTTTCATTTTACTTGCTTTTTCGCTTTATTTAATTTTTTATTTTATTTACCATTTAATTTAATTTTTTAAATTTCTCGAATAATAATATTTTTGTGTTAATATATATATACTTATGTTAATTAAATGATTAACACAAAGCAAGCAAACTAATGAAAGTAAATGAGAATAAATTATAAAATGTGTACGTTAGTCTCGGTTTATTTTAACTTTTATTTAATAAATATGTATGTAGGTGTATTAATTGCCTGTTAGTACATGATCAAGGCGATGGAAGCGCGTTAACAGTATAAAAATTCATAAATTCTCAAAATTACGAAATTTTCTCAAGAAACAGTACAGAAAAGGGACTAGTTGTTTAAGGATAATTAGTAAAAGTACAAATAAAGCAAATCAGTGAGGTACTAACTACAGAGTGTAAGTACGAGGTGAGCGATATTATGAGCAACGCACAGCCAAAATGCGTAGAATGCAGCTACGAAACGCTGATCGAGTATGAGTATAATTTTCGTTTCTCTCGAAGAAATGAATAGCGGAGCTTTGTGACAAATGTGTGAGTATGTATGTATACGGTAAGTATTTTCTTGCACAAAACTTTACTTGCGAGCCTTGGTTAATGCAAAATGTGGCCAATTGAAAAAATGCAACAACAACCAAACTAACAGCAAATGCAACCGATTTTTTAAACGCGAACTCAGGTGAGTGAATGCTGGCGGTACTACGTCGCAGCAGCAAATGCATAATGCATACAAAACTTGCACAAAATGACAAAGAACAAGAACAACAACATGTAATAATGAAGTAGAAGAAGCTAATTAAGTCATTCCATCGCATTACATTGTCAAGCAGTTTATTTGATTCGAATTACTCCGTTGCTTGTTGACAGTTTGCTGTTGGCTTTGGCAAATAGTTGATTCGTACGCCTAAAAGTATGCTGCTGTTTCTACTGCTGTTTGTTATGGTTGAATTTTTCATTGTTTTCGAATTCGCTTGTTCGCTCGTTTCGCTTGCTAGCTTCGCTTAATTGTTAAATTGTTGGTAGTTTTGATTTTGATTCGTAGATTTTTTGTTTTTGCTTTTTCGTATTGTCTCGTTAATTTAGTTTGTTGCTTTGCGTCGTAGCGTTTTTTTTATTTTCATTTTTAGATTGGGCATAATTTTTAAAAAGCTTTACTCCCGCGTTCTTTGCGGGTTGTGGTATTTTCATATGCTTTTTTAGTTTTTGCTGTTTTTCTTTCGTTGTATGTTTGTAATCAAGACACACTAGACTCCTTGCTGTTGGCATTTCGCATTCAATAGTTAACTGGTTTAATTAGCATTACAAATTGATTATTGTACAGTTGTTTTTAACCAGTGCTAATCACAAAAATGCGACGCCAACAATTTGCAAGGAGCAGGTGACTAATGAGTTTCCATTTCCATTTATGATTCTTTATTATTTTCGCTTGATGTAAATGTTGTCGTGGATGGATGGAATTCGTTCGTGGTGGTGGTAATATTGGCAAATATAAAGAATAGTAAGATTTTGTAGTAGTTGAGCTTACAGATCAGTTATAAGCAACCCTTCCGGTCATAATTGCCCACGACGATAGGGAGATCTAGATGGCCTAGTGTGGGTAAGTGGTGAATAAAGTAGTGTTTGTTGATCATGGTGTGGTTGTTGATTGTTGGTTTTGGTAATACGTTTTTTTTTTGTAATATTGATTTTTGAACATTTTACGAGTTTGGTGTAGTAAATAAATCAGAAAAAATTATATAACATAAATAAATATGTAAATATAAGCAAAAAAAAAAATATTTGTATAGAAAAAAGCATATAAAATGTTATATAAAGTTAGATATAGTTCATAAATTATGTGAGGTGCTTGGATAAATGGAATTTCGAAACCGAGTTTTCGATTATAAGAGACGGCCATTTCAAAGTTTTATTAAAAAAAAAATATTAAAGAAATTTATAGCTAACTCACAATCTTATTTAAGTAAATAATAGATTTTAAAAAGAGTTTAGTAACTGTTGAAATTATTAAACTGACTATATCACTTTATACAGATACGTAGATTTAAATTTTAAGCAATTAAAAAATTTTTTAAAGAATGTCATCGCTTCATAATAATCTCAATAGACACATCCAGTGCTTACAAGCTGCTGACCGTCTCCCCAAATCAATTTTAGCCAAATTTTATTATCAAAACTGTAACCCAATATGAATTTTTTAATGATTTTGAATATGTCTTTACCATTCACCTGGGTCTAAGCTAAAGTAATACTTTTCAATATAATAAAAATTATAAAATATTATTAATGATTGTAATATAATTATATGTAATATACAGTTTATATTTTTTTATTTATTTTAATTATTGTTGGTTATTTGAAGTTTCCTACTGTAGTGCTTATGCTGTTCTAAATGCTAAAGTGTACGAAAGGCTATTTCCTAGAGGCTATAGTTTCCTGCTAAACATATGTATGTATATACGTGCATACATAGTTTATAAAATGTAGAAAATCTCTTACATTTTTAAGATTGTCCTTTTTAAATTTCAAAATCAAAAACCTGCCAAATATCCAATCATATAACTTTTTATTTGTTAACGTGAGAATAATTATTTTAAAATTACCAGTTAGGGAGTCGTTCTACATTTTACCAAGTATATATATACATATGTGCAATTTTGTAATATCCGTAACTATTTTAGAATCTACACTAAATGAGTGTGCGCCTTTTCAGCCTTTGCAGTGTCAGTGAAGTATGTGTATATAAATATTTAAATAATTATGATTTTTTTTCTCTGATTATCTCAATAATTAAGTTCAGTAAAAGGAAAATGTGTATTAAATTAAAAACTTTTTTTTATGCAAAATTAATATTTTTTAATAAATTAGAAGTCTCCTTTTTCGTCGAAATAAAATATTTTTTTTTAAATCCAATATGAAAATTTACGAAAAAGATTCTTGTGCCTCTTTTGCATTTCTAATTTGTTTCTAATCGGTTATTCTATTGCGCTGTCTTTTGTGCATAATGGTATTTTCCAAAGAACGCTATACCTGTCTAATTCGGACGTAACATTCCAACCAAATGCGTTGCATGTAAATATGTACGAATGCATTTATGTAGCTTCTACCTACAATAACTGCTAAGTATCACCATAAACTTTTATTACACAAAATATTACCAGTAAACATGTATTAATTGAAATTTTAAAATTACCTTAAGAACCTCGCCTTAAGTACTCTAAACCTTTTGCCAACATATAATACAACATATATATATACATTTAAGTATCAACAACTTGCTCACACACAAATAGTCATTAAAATAAGTTCAATAAAAACTCATTTAACTGCTTTACCTTTCGCACGGCATTTCGCCCATATTCTTGGCGATCACCAAACGTTTGGCTTCTTCCTTCTTGCGGCGATCTTCTGCAGCGGCCTTCATCGGATCGTACGTCGAGCGACGTTTCCACATAGCCATTTCTGCTTCTTTTTGTTTAGTGACTGGAAATGCATTGAATAATAATTAACCTTATCGTCGAAATGAAGCAAATGAAACAAAAAAGCAAATGAAATGCCGCACACGTTCCCAAACGAAACGCATGTGGCATGCAAATGCAGCAAAGCTATTGTGACACTCACCCGACTGGTCTCTACGCACCGCTGATGAGGCACGACCGCCGCCGCCGCCGCCACCACCGCCAAGCGTAGTGCCGCTTGTGGTCATGCACGAGGCCACCGAGCGTACACTGCGATTGCTGGTGCGTGTCGGATCCGCACGACTCAGCCCCATCGATGAGCTACTCGGACTGCGTTTCATTACGTCGCCAGTTAATGCCGACGTTTTCAGTGTGCTTTTGGAATCATTCTTGCGTAGAAAATTATTGCCTTGTGCTGGCTTGTACTTCGATATGTCCAAATACTTGGGTTGCACCCGTTGATTGGTCAGCTTTGTTGCCGTTGGCACAGCGGCGGCAGTTTGCAGTAGCTGTTTCTTGGCCGAGGCCAACGAGTTGGGTACCTGCGATGCCAAACGACTGAGACTAGTGTCACGCGGCACTGACTGTCGCGCCGTTGCGGCGCCGCCTGCTCGCGGTGCGCTGCGTATGCCACGCCGCGGTAGTTCGGGCGTGTTAGGGCATGCCATGACGCCGCATGTACCGGCCGCCTGTTGATGTTGTTGTTGGAATCTGGAAACAGGCGCAGAGGTTGGCTTGGTTGTGCCGGAAGCACCGCTTACACGTTGTTTGCTACGCTCGATACGCATCAGTAGCGCTTTGTTCAGACGCGTGTTGGAGAGTGGTACGCTGGCGGTATTTTCCACTTCCGCTTGTACGTCGTCCTCATCCTGATGCTGGTAGTAGTGGTCGTTGTCGTCTTCCAACTCCTCCTCTTCGACCTCCTCCGCACCACTGGAATAATACTCTTCGCCCATATCATCTTCGTCGTTGATATAATATTGGAAATTTTCATCGTAATCACCGATCGCATGCCGGAAATTGTTGCTGCTAGCTGACTTTTTGATAATGCTAGCATTGCCGTGCGCCGCTGCCGCTGCGGACCGCCCATCACCGCCGCCAACCAGCGAATAGTTATGACGCGCCGCCGGTGGTGTGTAGATATTTGAGAATTGTGGACGCGCTGCACGCTGCGTTGTCGCTATCTTCGCCGAAAACGAACTGGAACGACGCAATGGCGACTCATGACCGCTTTGTCCGGCTTGCGCTTGTTGTGCTTGCGCATTTGCCGCTGCCACTGCTGCTGCGCGGCGTGCTGGTGAGTTGCCGATATTACCATCGAAGGAGTTCTTACGTGCGCGCATCTGCCGCGCCAAGTATTCGCCGCTGGTGAGCAATTTCAATTGCTGCTCATTGAAGCTGCTCGTCATCAGCTGCAAATGCTGTGCATTACGACCGTAGGGATCATTCGTAGCAACGCGCCGATGCAACGGTGAGTGATGGTAAGCGCTGCCGCTGGCCGCAGAGGTGGGCGAGCCCAGACCGTGCTGTGGACTACCGCAGTCGTCTGGCGGCGAGTACAGCGCCGAGGAATGAGCGTGCGAGCGTGCCGAGTGCGCACGTGGCGACGCTGACGAATGTGTTGTGGGCGGCGATTTTAGTGAATTTTTACGTGACAACGATTGCTGTAAATTACTAATAGCAGCCGCTGTCTTCTGCAAATAAATATCGGCCTCCTCGTCTCCAACGCCGCCGCCACCCTGTAACATCACATTCTGCAGCGGCGCACGCGTACGACTTGCACTCCGCGCACGCCCAATAGAATGCAGCGGTGAGGGTATTTTCGAAGGACTCTTTGGTGGCTTGCAAATGCCCTCGGCCGGCTGTCCACCGCTACTGTACGCGCCACTCGACAACGTCGGATCACTCGAATAATCACACTCGCCCGACAAGCGATAACGCTCGGCTAGACTACGATTCAATTTGGCAGCGCTAATGCACTGCTTGCTATTGTATATGCTATCGTCGGTGAGTGAATCTCCACCCGCAGCAGCTGTATCGGAGGCGCACGTGTAGCTGCGCGTCATCAACGCCGATTGCGACGCGTCCGAATGTATGCGCGTCTTGGACGTCTCTGAAGCGAGGCTACGCGCACGCGCATTACGTGCCCACTCCTGTATCCAATCGTTTTTCGTTTGTGCCGTCTTCAACACCGCTGCATCGGACAACTTATGATGAGTAGGCGTTTCCGGTGGCGACTCAATGTAGCTTCGCGTTGCGGCAAATTTCGCTTGTGTATTGTCCTTTTGGTTTGTGAACAAGTTGAGGCGATATTCGGCCTTCTGATGATCTGTGAAACCGCCGCCGGCATATGCACTTGCGGTATTCGTCTTCAATTTCGCCTCATTGCTCACATACTCTGAGGAATCTATCTGCGATGTAGACAGGCCGGATTTACGTGTTAGGCGCGGTCGCGGATCAAGCGCACTCTTCTTAGCCAGCACACCGCTGGTTGTCACGCTAGTGAAGCAACCCAAATCGCCATCGTCTTCCGTAGGGGTTTTCTCTCCGATTTCAGCAACGACCGGTGGCGAACTCTTAGTCGCCGAAGCATTGCGTAGCACGCGCGACTTTATCTTCTCCAAGTAAGCGCCCGCAGATTCATGAGAACCTAAAATTAAATCACGCTCATTGTAAGCGTGTGGCGATTGTGGCGCTTGTTCTGTTTCGGTGTCGTGGTAGTAGTTCACCTCGAGCACATTCGAGCGATTATGCACATGCACCGGAATTTTCGTGTTGCTCTGATGTGCTTCCACATCCACCATGCTGCTGCTGAGTTGCAAATTTCTCGGGCGTTGCTGTTGCGCCTTCAATGCCTGCTTCGCACTCTTGTCTATGTTCATCAAATCCTTTTGCTCTTCTGTATAATTATCACCATCAAGCGTATAAGTGCCGGTTTCACTGATATTATCCGCCTCCAAATTGTAGTTTTTCAACTCGGCAAGCGGTGGTTGCGCGCATAAAAAGTCTACCTTCTGTAAAGCCAACTGCATAGCGGTCGAACGCGGCGTGAATTGTGTGCGATTCGCTACAAGGTTGGCAGCACCTTTAGGCAACTGCAGCGGCGGTGGCTTTTGCTTACTGACATTTTTACGCGTTGGCGGTAGAGGCTTCTGCGCAATGCCCGAACGATCGTTTGCGTTGTTATTATGCGCCGTGCGCGTGGCGGAAGGCGTATGCGCGATGGCATGCTGGCCACCGTGTCCACCGTGTAGCTGCGACTCTTGAGTACTCGAACGCGGCGACCAACTGTGCCGTTTGCTGGCATCTCGTACACGCGACGTACTGCGATCGCGCACACGCAGCTTCACTTTAGGCGCATCACCGCCACCACTATCGAAGGAGTTATCTGCTGTGCCGCCGCTGTTACGCGCATGTCTGCTGCTATTGCCGCTCAGCGGCGTGGCAGACACGGAGCTGGTCATTGCGCTTTCCTTATTCGTCGCTGTGTCACCAGCCTCCAGCTTGGACATGGAAGCGCCGCGTCGATGGCGGCTCTGAAAACGTTCCATCATGCTCTTGTAACGCGCTTTAGCTGCTTCAGGATCACAACCGCTGTCATTGAAATTATCGATAGTAAAAGCATATGATTGCTTATTTGTTGTTGCTGTGGTTGTAGTATTTGTTGCATTTGACGAAGAAGAGTCATCGTCATCACGCGTCAACGTCTCACAATTCTCCGCGCCACTGGCGATCAGCGCCGCGGTATTATTGTCCGGCATAGTGGACGGTGTAACGCAACCACTGTCACTGCCGTTGCCATCGGCACCGAGTCTACTTTTGCTCCCCAAATCAACAGTTGACGACGAATCGATGCTGCCGCGGCCGTGGCTTTCTATGCGTTCGCTTTTGCTCAACATATCTGCGAAAAAATGTTGGAATTGAGAGTAAATAAAAGTATACAATTATATTAAGCACTCACATATTACAATATATACAATTATTAAGTGAAAACGAAAATGAAAATGAACAAAAAGAAAAAAATATGCAGAAAAAATTGAAAATGTGCGCAAACGATTGCGATTTGTGCAGCTCTCGGTGCTGTGATGTGGAGCGCTGAGCTGTTAGTGGGTTAGCGGACGAGGCAGAGTAAAGCAAATGCAAAGCAAATTGCTACATACGTTTTAGAGATTGCCTTTGATTGCTTTCGAGTAACGAATGCGTTATGATTGTTATTATATTTATTTAGTTTTTTCATTATTGCACATTGGACAATTACGGGTTAATGTTGTAGCACAGTGGTGATGTGAACTCGGGCAATTAGTCAAAAATATACATTTTTTTCATTGAATAGAAGTGGAGAAAGAGGTTGACGAGACGACAAGAAAAGAGGATAATTTTTTCAAAACAGAAAGCATGTAATAATTTTCGAAATTTCCACCTATTTTTGTAAGCCATGCTCGAGTTTTTAATAGTTTTTTTTTCAACTGTCGCTGTCAATGTGTTAAAGACCGATCAAAATGGATGATTCGATGTAAAATTCGATGAGTTTTCAAATTTTGAGTTTTCATAATTTATTGGATTTTTAATTTTGATTTTCGAACTTAGGGTTTCGATATTCAAATCATCGATCTTAAAATTGAGAAATTAATTTTCAAATCTCTACTAACTTCTTGACTTCCAATTTTTACACATTGAATGGACAAATTTGTACAGCTAAAATACAAAAATTGTTAAATTTTTAACTACCCAATTTCAATTTCGAATTCTTTATACTCCACTGAATTTTCATAAAAAATTTTACACATTTCCTTTCCAACCACTGCACATGACAATGCGCATGGCGAACATATGTATGTATGTATGTACACTCGAGAGTCTGAATGTATGGCAAGCGAAGGCCAAAGTTCGAATAAAACAACACACATTTTAGGTGACTTTTGTAGTGATCTTTACGTCGCAAGCGCCGATAAATGGATGGAATCTTCACCGACAACGGCAGCAGCAAGTGGCAACGATGAATTTATGTTTAACGTTTTGCGCAGAAATTCTGCGTTTCACTTTTGATTTTCTCTTTCTTACTATTAAATTTATTTCTTTCATTTTTGCTTTTTTTGTATAAATAGTAAAAACGAGCAGATAACGATATAATATTATACGTTTGTATATGATAATATTGCCTATAGAAGAATGTCCAGCGTAGCCCACGCACAATTGTTTATAATCAGACATGCATACATTCATATTTACATCTACTATGTATGTATGTGCAGTATATTTTTATAAATATCAACAGTGAAAAGGCAGACAAAGAATAATTAATTTACAAACGCACACACACATACATATGTACATACGGACGCACCACACTTAGGGAGCTATCTCTATTATGGTGTAAGTACCAATCTCAGTGTGAATTTATCTGCAATCGGCGGATTCTGTTTAGAACGTAAACAATCAATTAGTGGCCAAATGGTGGTAATTATTTATACATTTTAATTAAGCGGAGTGTGTTGAAAATAAAAGATTTTTTACTTAGAAAAATACATTAATAGCGAACTGCTAAAGATGGAGGCTAACAAGTGCTTTTTGTCGTGAGCTGCTGATCGTTGCCAAGTAATTGCAAAATTTCTTATTCCATAAATACGTACATCTATAGCATATAAAAGTATTCACTTTCGAATTCTCACTTTTGGAATTTCAACGTCAAATTTGAAATTAATTAAATAATCTTTTGTATACATTTCAAAATTTCCGCTTTGATTATTTATTTCCGAACTTTTTATAAACTACGAACTTTTATGTTCGAATTCTGAATTATCATTTTCGAACTCCGAATTTTCATTTTCGCATTCCGAATTTCACTTTCGAGTTCCGAATTTTCATTTTCGAATTCCGAATTTCACTTTCGAGTTCCGAATTTTCATTTTCGAATTCCGAATTTCACTTTCGAGTTCCGAATTTTCATTTTCGAATTCCGAATTTCCATTTTCGAATTCCGAATTTTCATTTTCGCATTCCGAATTTCCATTTTCGAATTCCGAATTTTCATTTTCGCATTCCGAATTTCATTTTCGAGTTTCGAATTTTCATTTTCGAATTCCGAATTTCCATTTCCGAATTTCGAATTTCCATTTTCGAACTCCGAATATTCATTTTTGAACTCCGAATATTCATTTTCGAACTTCGAATTTTTATTTTCAAATTTCGCACATTTATTTCGAAACTTTCATTCAATACAATTTTAATTCCATTTCAGATTTAAAAATATATTTTTCAATTTTCGAACATTAAATTTCAAAGTTCATATGCACATATAAAAAAATAACAAAGGGAACAAAACAAATAACGATAAAAAATATTATAATGAAGATCTCAAAGAAATTTTCTGAATGTGAAGTTTAAAAAAGAAATTTAAATGCACAGCGTTAAACAAAAAAGGGAAGTAAATTGATCGTGGGCAGTCAGCAAGCAAGCTTAGCATAATAAATTGCGAACGAAAAAATATGAAATTCATATGCAGATGAGCACACGTACTTTGGTGACAGCCAAATATAGAGTTAAAGACGTTCTTAATAAGTATTCTTTAAATATATAAATATCCACTTATTACAAATTAAAAAGGTGAGCATACAATAGGACCACGGGCATGAGTCATATGTATGACAGGGTGCGACAGACAAGCCGCAACCAGAAATATTTTTGCTGTCGAAAAATTGCGTCAATTGTTATTGTTGTCGTAGATAAAAACTCTAGATACAGCAGATTAGCTCAGCTGAGTTACAAAAAAGTCAAAACCGCATATATATGTGTGTAACATATGCTATTGCTATTGTGCTGGGCAAAGCAACTCCAAAGATGATTCATATATTGAGCACTTGGCGCACCGAAAGCCAAGCACATTGGAACAGGCCTACATGCACATATGAATGTAAGTATGCATGGATGTACCATATATGCGTGTGATATTTATGTAGATTCATGTAAGTAACTTCACATAGATAGAGGTAAGTAAACAGAAGTTAAAAAATAAACAAACAACAACTCGCGTATGGAAAAATGTTGGACAGTTAGAAGAGAAGTTTCTTTTCGCATGCCATTTTGAAGGCATTACCCAAGAAATTATGACTTTTAACGCTCCATATGAACGAACAATATTTCAATTTCTAGACCAAAACGGCGACCTTTGCAATATAAAATTATGTTAGCTAATTAAGGCCTATCACACGAAGAATGTCAGAAGTTCGCTAACAAAATTTTTGCACATTCGTATGAAATTTTGTCGACCCCCCAAAACATTACACCAAAAATATCAAATATTTCAGTTTTTCGAAATGGGAAGACAAAATATATAGAAAAATAGTTTTATGAAAAAAGTGTGTACAAATGTAAACCGTATTAGGTAATACGCGAATTTGAATGTACATGGGATACGCTGTCCAAAGCAACAAGTACAACGTCAACAACAATTTGAATGACAATTAACATTTTCAGTCAAGCCAATGCAAGCGACTACAACAAGACATTAATGTACATATGTATGTACAAATGAGCATGTGCAAATATACATATGTATACACAAGCTTCGGCGCACAGCCACCGTAAAGGCCGTAAGCCACAACTAAAGTGACAATAATGAAGTTTAACAACAATGATCGTAAGCTTTAAAAATGTTGAAAATGTTGAAAATGCATGGAAATAAAAGCAAAACAAAAAATAGATTTACGTTAATAAAAAAGCAGTTTGAATAGATAAATTACTTCGCATGAATGATGTGAAACTGTTGCGATTCGCATTGGCATAAATGATACATGGAAATTTTGCATATATGTATGTATGTGTATTTGCTACAGTGTGTAAATAAAATGAATGTTTTAATATTTTTTCATCTTTTTTAAAAATCATTTTATTTGAATTTTTATTTTTTACTGTTAGTATCGGTTGTCATTCTGTACGTGGACTATAGTTTCGAATATTTTACATTTTAAAATTAAGTGACTTATCTCAATTGTTTAATTTAAAAATTCTGCTTAATAGAACTGCAGTATTGCACCACACATAGATATATTTGTAACAATTTTTTCACCCCTTTTAATTTCTTTTTTTTATTTTTTTCAAAATTGGTTAATTTTTTTAAAGTTCCTTTTATTAATTCTCTTTTTTTAATATTTTTTTCATTTCATTATTTATTTTTGTTTTTGTTTTTATTTTTTTATAATATTTTTACATTTTTTATTTTTTTATTCCTTTTTTATTTTTTTATCTTTTATAGTTTTTTTTATATATTTTTTACAGTTTTCTTAATTTTTTTTATTTTTTTTTATAGTTTTTTTTAATTTTTTCTAGTTTTTATTTTTTTATATTTATTAAACTATAAATATTTAATTTTTTTATAGTGTTTTTATTTTTTTATAGTTTTTTTTATTTTTTTTATAGTTTTTTTTTATTTTTTATAGTTTTTTTATATTTATATAGTTTTTTTGTTTTTATAGTTTTTTTTGTATTTTTTTATAGCTTTTTTATTGTTTTATGGTTTTTTTACAATTTTTGTTTTTTAATTTTTTTTACTTTTTTATTGTTTTTGATAGTTTTTTTAGTTTTTGTATATTTTTTTTTTTGTAATTATTTTTATTTTTTTATTTTAAATTTTTTTTATTTTTAATTTTTTTTTTTATTTTATTTTATTTTTTTTATTTTTTTTTTTATTTTTTTTTATACTANATTGTCCCTCTTATTCGATCCACTGTTTCTAACAGTTAGCTCTTACTGATCATTATGGCTATTTTCAGGTTTTTTTCGCATAACTTTTTTCTCTACTCACCTTTTTCATTGCAAAGCGGTTTGCCATAACAAAATTTCGCATTTGAGTCATCAACTGCCACGGCGAGACCAACACCGTACCCCCTACCACCGTACCCACCACCAACTATATCTGTATCGCTGGCTGCTGTTGATTGCGAATTACTAAGATAATGCGAGGATGAACGGTTTTTTAACTGTTGCAGTTGTTGCTGTTGCTGCTGCTCAATGACATCATCAATCTTCTTCAAATTTTCCGGTGTTGTATCGGTCTTCTCATGCCCATCCGAAAACGAATCACAGTCGTAGTCAGTGCAACAATTGCTTGTTGGTGTATCGGCTAGTAATTGTTGATCTTGCTGCTGCTGTTGCTGCTGTTGTTGGTGCAACGTTGTTTCACCCAATTTGCGCAGCATATCACAGTCATATGTCGATGGTGTTGTTGGACTTTCATATGAGGAACGCTCAATACTAGTTGTGTGAAAGTTGCACGTGCCTACGGCATTCTCCAACCCTGCGGCTGTATCAGCGTCTGTGTCCGTTGACGCTGCCGTTGAGTTAGCCGCATTTATATTTTCCATTGTGGTTGCTGTCGCTGTAGTGTTAGAATCATTTGCCGTAGCGTATGATGTCATTATTTCTGGCTAAATACACACTGACAGGCAACCAAAAACACGCAGGGAATTTGGTTGTCGCTTTTTGGATTGTTTTTCTTTTTTCGTTTTTGGCAAGCTGAGAGAAAACGTGCAGGTATCTACTTATTCCTCTACTTATACTCCTTGTGGCAAAGTATTAAAATATGTTCACGCTTAGTGCAAAATTATACAATAAATTAATTAATTAAATAGGTGTGTTGCGTTACGGACGCTGTAGCTGCTGCGTTCCTCTCCTGCGTTTTGTTTGTGTAAACCACTACTTTTTGCTCAGCTTTGTCTCTTCCTCCTGCTATCTTGGCCTTTCTTGCTACTTTACACCTTTGATCTATTCTACTTTGTGCGTTCGTTCTTATCACTAGATGTTACAACAAATAGCAACAAATATACATAGGTGCCTTCAGGATGGAAAATGTTTTGGTAGTGTTTGTATGACTGTGCCAATATGTACAGGGTGGGAGGACGTGTATCTAGATGACGCTGGGTGATGCGTGATAATGTGCTCGTGGTTATACGCTTGCTTATAGCTTTACAGACATATGTGTGTATATTTAGGTGCGTCCGTATGCACAAGTGCCCGTGGGTGTTACCTCTTCGTATTTGTTCTGCTATATACTAAGTGCCTGTTCCTGTCGTTGTTGTAGTTGTTTTCGGTGATTTTGCAAAGTTCGTTAGCTTTTCGCGCTGCTACTGCGAAGCGTTTTTTCACCAGACGTGTTTTCTGCTTTTTATTTGCTTTCGTTTTGCAAATTCAAAAACGACAACAGAAAATGTGACAATTATTTTTTTCAATACTTTCCATTGACAACATTTTTAAATATCTATTCAAACATAAAAGCGTTTGATAGATTGATCGGAGAACTGCAGTAGAACCTTACGTTTGCGTAAAAATATAAAATTTCTATGGAGAACGACGTGTGTGAGCGTTATTGGTGGTTGGGCGTTTGTTGGGTGCTATCCGGTTCGGTTAGTTGGTCGGTTGGTAGATTACAATTCAACAACTGTAAAAAAATTGTAAAGCAGAATTAATTAATTAATAAAATAACAACAAATTTATAAGGCGAGCGCGTGTGTTCTTATTTATTGACGTGTTTCGTGTGTGCCAAATTTTGTACATTCATTTAAACATTCACATAGTCACACATTAAGCATACATATGTACATACACGCGCAAGCTGTACTGTTTCCAATTTTAGCAATAATTTTACAAAAAAAAAAAAATAAAATAATAAACCCTACGGATTCAGTGAAAATAGAAAATAGGCATTTTTAAATCGTAAAATTTTCAAGGTTTTCTATATCGCGTTGTGGGCACTTGATAAATTAAAAAAAAAATCGGTTGGCTTTCGATTTCCCTTGTTTTTCATTTCCTTATACTTTTTGGAACATGCAAGCAGACAAGAGTGCGTCAATGGCATTGAAACAAACTAAAAACACAAGTGTAATAAGCCAAAACAAGTGTTACTCAATTACAGCTACCGCTACATTAGTGTCAGCTGTGTAAGAAGCGGGTCCACTTTGCTCGTCCACATGCACGTTCAACGACCAAGGGCGAGACTATTCACTGCCTCGGTCTATTTGTGTTACACAAAAAGACATAAAAGATTTGTACAATTAGCAACAACACTAAAATTCGAGACTAACTTCTTCATCGGTCTGTGAGTTTTAAGATTTTAGCCACTTTTTCTTTTCAACTCTATTTTTTTCTGCTTTCTGTGATTGGATGTTTTGAATTACCATTTGTGTTGCTTTGTTATTTTAATTTTATTCCATTTATCACGCTAATGAACTCGATTTCAAAAGCTATAATTATTCTTATTGATTCTCAATTCTGTGTTCTTTACATCTTTTTTACTTTCTTTGCTTTTTCGTCACATATCATTGCTATTTTATTTGCTTTGTGAATCAAGCTAATAGTTTGCGGTAAATATACGACTGTCCGCACTCTTGACTTTTACGATGTCCAATAGTCTCCGTTAGCAAAAACACTGAATCCAATTGGTATACAATAGCAATACACTAGTGGTCATAACCGCTTGAATTGTTTTGGCCAAGTGAGAGGGCCAACCATATAGCACTGAGTAAATAATTGGAAGAAAGAGCACATTAGTGATGTTCACACTGAGGGTGCGGAACCGGTTTTACATATGTAAAGCGAATGATATAATACTTGACTCATAGGACATGGATAGAGTTGAGGTCCTTCAAGACTAGTTTTCTGGTACTTAAAGAGCTACCTAACATTCAGCCGTTATAAACCGAAAATTTTGCGTTACTACTTATATTTTCTCTCGTCATTTTTTTATTTCAAAATTATAAATAGTTTTTACTATACATACATTATTATTTATCTGCAACTGTGCATGGTTTTTTACAAAGTTGAAATCAATATTGTTACGATTTTACTAAATCAACCTCGATGATTTTCTAGATCCTTCGGGTACGATCTCTGGATTGTTAAATAAAAACTCGCCAACTTAATTTGCAGTTTCTTTCGTTATAAAGATTCTATCTAATGTCCTTTATTTTCTCAGTAATTCACAATTCAATTATACTGCACTTTACTATTTATAATCACTAACATCAACTTTCACAATTTCCTCTACTTAAATGTAATTCCCAACGCGTTCACTTTACGTCTTCACTGATGTTAACGCCAACCAATTTGCTTTGTCACTGCTTGACTTGCAGCTGAGTGTCGCCTTTATATAGCAGTCGGCTGCTCGCAGACGAAAGCGTAGAAGCATCGAATTGTTCGCTATGGAAGGTTCTTGTGTTATCGGCTTCTCTCTTTCATCTGACATTCGCCTCGCATTTTCGCAACAATATTTTCTTTCATTACATTGTTTGATGTGAATGAGATCACGTCCAAGAGCCCACAAGTATCGACTGAATTAAGAATTCATAAGTATGCACTTAAATTTCCAACACTAAGTTGAGTAATATTTTCTCCGCTCACTTAATTTTTTCTCTCTTCTTACTCAATTCTAATCAAAGTGAGCAACATAAGTACAACCAATCTGCCGTCGCCTACAGCTAATTACCAAACTGACAATTACATATGGTAGCAAAACGCATGAAGGAGCAAATTACTTAATGAATGAATGTGGAAACAAATTGTCATAGACATTTACGAATCCCGTTTGTTATTGCTCATATTGAGCAGTATTTCTATTTTTTTTATTTCCCAATTTTTTTCACAAACCCCATGCATGTAGAATGGCAGATGCATGCATTAAAGAACAGGTGGGTAGCAATTTCCGAGCGACGATACAAAGCACTGCAGGTGCATTTTACACACCAGTGAACACCTCAAATGGAAGCCAATTTGCGGTCACACCCTGACGAACAGCAAAACAAAGTGTGCTCTCCTATTAGAATTTCGAATGAGAATATATCACTAATCGATGCCATATAAATTTGATATTTTTATTGTTTTATTTTGAATGGATATGCAAAGAATTTGTCACAAATTTGAAGTTTTTCTTTAGGCCATTGAATGACCATTCCTTTATACAGAATTGAATTTTCACAGTACCAACAAAGTAACCCATCACATACTCGGGCGTACAATCACTCGGCGCTGCGCCTTTACGTTGGGCGCTGTATTGGCATTTTCCTTTTCCTCTGTTTTGTTGGGCGGCGATATTTTTTGCACTTCTATATTTACTACATTTAATATGTTTTTGTTGGTTTTCTTTATAGTCAGATTTCTGTACACTTTGTTTACACTCCAATGCAAATTTTATGTATAATTTGTTGATTATTGGGGAGTTATTTACACAAAAACCTACCGAGAGGAAAAGCAACGTTATCTGTCGTTCTTCACAAAAAAAAATTCCAATTAGACAAATCTGACATACCAAAGAGAATGAATATGTCAAATACGCTCCTACTCATACAGGGCTGCATGTGATTCAAGTAAAATAACTTTGAAATATGCAAATTTTTAAAATGAGATGTAATTGCAAAGAACGTATATGAATATACGTTCTTTGATACCACTTTAAAAAAATATTTCAGATGTTTTCATAAAAAAAATTCTAGTTGTCAAAAATTTTTTTCCATTAGATTTCAGAAAATAAAATGCAAAGCTTTTAAATTTTTTTTCCGAATGTTTTACTATTATTTATTTTTTGTTTATAATGAAATGTTTTACATTTTTTATACAATAATTTTTTAGTTTTAAATAGTTCAAAATTTAGTTATTATTTTCAATTTTTTTTGTACCATGTAATGTTTAACATATTTTTATATAATAATTTTTTAATAAAAAAAAACCAATTTAAGTGAAACTGACTGTTTTTTTGTATTATGGTTTCTAATATGGACATATTATGGATGTAGATTGATTTCTCCCTCATAGCTTAACAATGGCCTCTATCTCCTTGATACAATTTAAAAACTAGTATTATACAAAATAAAATGAAAAGATCCAATAGAAAGAAAAAAATTTTGAACTTGACCCCGACGTGATTTGAACACGCAACCTTCTGATCTGGAGTCAGACGCGCTACCGTTGCGCCACGGAGTCGTATATTTAAATTATTTCATTATATTTATACATAAACAATAAATCGTATTCGTGTCGTGTCATTTCCTATAAATCCTCCGTAAATGAAATTTAAATTAATATTTACTACCCTTTTCCCTAATTCTTTGGGAGATTTTTATATTAATTTTCAAAGGTCATCGCTGCTATTAATAGTGATAATGCTATTAAAAATAAAAGGCTGGCTAAAGAATATCTATTCTTTATAAGGGCAGCTTTGCTAATTAGTATCACTTCTATAAAGATAAGATGTGAAGTTTGTTATTGTAAAATGTTATCTTGGCATTGCTGAAACCTTCATAGATAAGAAGGAGCTCTGATAACAAACTTGTATCTACATATATACAACCTATTCTTTTTCCTCAGTTTTTCCGACTGGCGAATTAAGAAAATGTATTAAAATATATAAAGTACCAGTAGTAGTTTACAAAAGAAGATGTATATATATATATATATATATATATATATATATATATATATATATTTTTTAATTAAAGCTTTTTATCCCTTTATGAAAAACCATCATTAATTTGCATGTATGAATATATTTTTAGTGTAGGAGGACATTGGAGACATCTGACGGCTACTAGGAGGCAAACAGCAATATCGACAGTTCGATAGCCAGGTGTTTAACATTCTTCAATGGCTGTTCATGCTATTACATTTTAAGACTGTCATAAACAGCTGTGTATTAAATTTTGCTGCTGATTGTTATTTAATTCTAACGCATTAAATTGGAAAAATAAAAACGCATTTTAAGCACATAATCGAAAAGGTATTTATTTACGATATGCTGCGTCAATGCGTGCCTAAATCGCCTGTAAGAGTGGTAAGTATAGTAAAGCATTTAAATTTTCTGATAAAGTTATTTTGTAATAATTTCATCATAAATAGCACACCAGCGCCTGTGTAGCACTACGTGCTGCCACAACAAATGCCGCTGCCCCAGCGTCCAAGGACAAGCTCGAAGAAATTCGTGACCGTCTGGCTAAAGGTCCGAATTTCCAAGATTTCGTGCAAAACCCAGAATATTCGCGTGATGAATGGACTGAATATGAGGGTAAATTGCGAAGGGAGAAAGGCGAGAATGAACGTTTACGTTTACCCCCTTGGCTGAAAACTACCATACCAATGGGCAAAAATTTTGCTAAAATCAAAACACAGCTGCGGGAATTAAAATTGGCCACAGTATGTGAGGAGGCACGTTGTCCGAATATAGGCGAATGTTGGGGAGGTGGAGAACATGGCACGCAGACAGCCACAATTATGGTAAGAAATTAGAAAATTAATAGTCGACGAAAAATTTGTAAAATTTACCGGTAAAAGACGTAGTTTATTAGGCAAGCTTAAGACAGAAACATCTTGTTAAGAAATATGTATTTTTATATTTAATATATGTATGTGCATATCCTCAAGTGATAACATTCAATTATTATAATCTCATGCTTGTTTTGTGATCTATGCTGATAACCTTTGACAGCAATGAAATAATTATATTTGTTTGTATTATTTATGCTCACATATTCTTATCTTCATTTGAACACAGCTGATGGGTGACACATGTACGCGAGGTTGTCGTTTCTGCTCTGTTAAAACAGCACGCAAACCGCCGCCGCTGGATCCCGCTGAACCCGTAAACACAGCCAAAGCAATTGCCTCCTGGGGTTTAGATTACATTGTGCTGACTTCAGTAGACCGTGATGGTAAATATTGTTTTGTAACCGCTTTACCATTTTATGAGAGTTGTTCTTTCAGATTTACCCGATGGCGGCTCAAATCATATTGCAGAAACTGTACGAGAAATCAAAGAACGGTATTATTTACTATTGAAATTTCCTTCCATACTTACAAAATCGTCTTTATTTTCTGTTTAGTAATCCCAACATTTTTGTCGAATGCTTGGTGCCTGATTTTCGTGGCGATTTAAAATGCGTTGCGACCATAGCCAACAGCGGTTTAGACGTTTATGCGCACAACATCGAAACAGTCGAAAAGCTAACACCGTTTGTACGTGATCGCCGTGCACACTATCGCCAAACGCTTCAAGTACTGCGCGAAGCTAAGCAATTTAATTCTAAGCTCATCACGAAATCATCCATAATGCTTGGCTTGGGCGAAACCGATGCCGAAATCGAACAAACTATGCTGGATTTACGTGAAGCAGGCGTGGAGTGCCTCACATTGGGTCAATATATGCAACCGACAAATAAGCATTTAAAGGTTATCGAATATGTAACGCCTGAAAAGTTCAAGCATTGGGAGAAACGCGGCAATGAATTGGGTTTCCTATATACTGCCAGTGGACCGCTGGTGCGTAGTTCATACAAAGCGGGAGAATTCTTCATAACGAGTATATTAAAGAATCGACAAGAGCAAGCAGCTGGAAAGCAAGCAACAGAGAAAAAGTAAAGGAAAGAAATTTTTATTGATGCTAATTAATGGAGCTTAGCGTATTTAGAAAGAAAATTACGAAAATAAATGGATTGAGGGAAGGTTGTTAACCCGAAACGCTTAAGTAATTTGCAATAATAAATCTGTAGTTAAATGTAGAAAAAAATTACCCTTGATATTGTTACACCCGCTAAAAATTAAGCTATATATATGTTATTATTGTCTTTTCAGTAGCTAATAATAAAAGTGATATATGTAATATGTATACACACCTCATATAATATATAATATATGTAGAAAAGTTTGGTATGCTGGTAAAAAACAAGTCAATTTCTTTCGTCGTCACGCCTACTATTACTATTAACCAAGTTATGAACATAATTCACTTAAAGCATCTGCACGTTGCTCTTTGAAGCGCACCCCACAGCTGAAATAAAATGCTTGCCTATAAAACACTGCATAATCATATTATCAGCGCAAAACAAAAGGAAAAAATATGTTTGCTAAGTGAAATTGCAATGAAATGCGCTTCCGTCAACCTTTTGCGGTCAATCAGCATGCAGCTGGTGGGATGGCGTCTAAATGCGTTTACAATCTATGAAGTTCAAGTTCACACACCAACAACGACAATAAAAATAACCACAAAAGCAATTGTCGTTGGACATAACATGTTGCTGTTGTTTCGGTGGTGCGGGTTTTCAAGGTAGCTGAGTCACCTCAACAAGTGTCCGTTTTTGCAGCAACAATAGAGGCAGCGCTCAGCGGCGTGCCGACGTAAGCAAAGTAAACAAAGTTTCAGACCATCAAACGCCCCGCCCAGCTGCCCCCGTCGCTGTGCTCCTGCAACTGTTAATGGATTTTTCGCGCATGCGCTGCTGAAAATCATCCGAAAGCAATTTTCTTCGCTAGAAATTTTCACACAAACCACATTGACATTTGTGAGTCAGTTGTCAGTGGTGAAAATTGCAGCAACGGCTGCCGCATTGCAGTGAGAAGTGTTAAAAACTGATAAATTGACTGATAAATGGTGGAATTATTGGAAAAAATTAAGTAAATAGAAAATAAACACTCATTTCAAGTACTAGTGTACCGTTATTTGATCGAAAAAATAGGTATTAGTAAAATTTGCTACTAAAACGCCTAAAAGTATGCAACATATTTGCGACATATGTTAGGCAGTCAGTACGCACCTTTGCATAACGCGTAGGCGTTCAATTACTGTTGTAACCGTATTCAGCTCGCAAGGTTTTCTTTCAATTAGTGAAATTAAAATTCATACAATTTCCGGGCAGAAATTTTAACACCCCGCTTGCACTTGCCGGTCACCGCCATTTCGCACGCAGCAACCTGCTGCCTTCAACATCAACATGCCCAGTACGCGTCGCATTATACTCGGTCACGTTATGTCCGGCCTCTGCTCCAAGATGAATCGTACCAAGCCAGTGCCAGCGGATGTCATGGAGACCCCACTGAAGCGTTGTCTCAACACCTTTGACATAACTCTGCTGGGTGAGTTCCAAATAGTGCACTGAAAAACAGTTTTAATAGTTGTTAGTTGTCAGTTGTCCTAATACATATCTTTCTCTCTCTACCTCCTTGCAGGCATCGGTCACATGGTTGGCGCAGGCATTTACGTGCTCACCGGCACTGTGGCAAAGGATATGGCTGGCCCCGGCATCATACTCTCCTTCATCTTGGCCAGCTTTGTCTCGCTTCTAGCCGCGCTCTGCTATGCCGAGTTTGGCACTCGCGTACCCAAAGCCGGTTCAGCTTACGTTTACACCTACATCTCAATTGGTGAATTTTGGGCTTTTGTGATCGGTTGGAATATACTATTGGAGCATATGTTGGGCGCCGCTTCAGTGGCACGTGCCTGGAGTGGTTATGTCGACTCGATGCTTGGCGGTTGGATTGGCAATACGACGTTGGCCATAACCGGTGAAATGCATGAGCAGTTATTCGCACGCTATCCCGATTTGCTGGCCTTCCTCGTGTGTCTGCTATATGCTGCTGCATTGGGTATAGGCGTTAAGGCCACAGCTGTTTTTAATAGCATGTTGACGATGGTTAATATTGCCGTTGTGGTTTTGGTAATCGGTGTGGGTTTCTGATATGCGGATTTGAAGAACTGGTCAGAGGCAGAAGGTGGTTTTCTGCCTTATGGCGTCGGCGGTGTGATTGCTGGCGCTGCGACTTGTTTCTACGCTTTTGTGGGTTTCGATTCCATTGCAACTTCGTCTGAGGAGGCAAAGAATCCGTCAATATCAATACCAATAGCAACGTTACTCTCGCTGAGCGCCGTTACAGTGGGTTATATTTTGGTCTCGGCTGCGCTTACGCTGATGATACCGATACGTGAAATAAATCCAGCTGCCTCTTTGCCAGAGGCTTTCGGACAAATGAATCTGAATTGGGCCAAGTATGTGATCTCGATTGGCGCACTCTGCGGCATGACTACCACACTGCTGGGCTCGTTGTTCGCCTTACCGCGCTGCATGTATGCGATGGCTTCGGATGGTTTGCTCTTCAGCTGCTTTGGACGCATCAATACAACAACGCAGGTGCCTGTGCTCAATCTCGTGGTGGCTGGTTTGTTAAGCGCATTGCTTGCGCTACTCTTCGATTTGGAGAAGTTGGTGGAGTTTATGTCGATTGGCACGCTGTTGGCGTATACTATAGTCTCCGCAAGCGTTATCATACTGCGTTACCGACCGCTGGTCAGTCAGGAGCATGCCATTTATGCGCCCGATACACCTGATGAGGACGATGACGACGACAACACATCGCAGTCGAGCATCGACACGGCCTCACCTACTAGTGACCTCATTGAAGGCGCACTTGCCGGCCGCCTGAAACCGCAATATCGTTGGCTCGAACCACTACTTGGACGCTTTGACCCCGGTTCGGCTGTATCCGCCGCAGTCTTGCTCTTTTCAGTGCTCAGCTTTGCCATTTGCTTTCAACTTGAAGTGTCTTGGCATGAACTCTACACAGGCTCTTGGTGGGCGCTGATACTGTACGGTTTTATGATTTTCATAGCATGCGCTTGTGTTGCTGTTATAGCGGTACATCATCAAAATACGCGCGGTCTGAACTTCAAAGTGCCGCTTGTACCCTTCGTGCCAGCTCTAAGCATCTTCTGCAATATTGTACTGATGGTACACTTGAGTGCGCTCACCTGGTTACGTTTCTTCATTTGGGTCGCCCTCGGTATGTTGATCTATTTCTTGTATGGCATACATCACAGCAAAGAGGGTGAGGTTTGCTCTTCCTATTCGATGCTAATGACCTCCACGGAAGCGGGCAAATCAACTTGGGGTGCTACGGGTGCTGGTTTCACCATTAGTCTGAGTGGCAGTGGTGGTGCTGGTGTCATCAAGCGCACTGTGTTGCAACGTTTCATAGGCAGGAAGATGGATGATAATAAACCGATTGTGGAGGAGGACGTCAATGAAGTGGACGAGGAGGGGCAGACATAGAGCGTTGAAGGGTGAAGGGAGTCGTGTGGAGTAGTATACACTTGGGAGACTACAAACAATTTACTTTTAAACATTTGAACTTGAGCACAATTTACAATTTCACAACAATCTTTAGTTGCCTTGTTTTATACTTCTTAAGCTTTTTCTAAACTTTTTAAGTAAAGGTGTGCAAGGTTAGGAAATCAAATCAAAACGGTATTTGCCTTTCAATGCCTCTTCAAAACATTTTTTGTTTTCATTTATTTCACATTTATTCCAAACGATTACTCACGCGATCGTTTCGTGTTCGCTTCGCAGTCTTAAGCGACTCTTTAGTGGGTGAGGAATGGATTGGATGACGTATCGGGCGTCATGCAAGTTGAAACGTGTTTCATTTATTCATGCAAAAGAATACAAAATTTCTATAAAAAAACTGGCAACATGATCGCATATTCCTTTTTCTTTTATTTTTATTTTTTTTATCAGTTATTACTTTAAGGTTTGCTTACGGGGAGCGGCTTTGTGACACAACGATAAAAAATGCAAAAAAAAAGTATGAGCATGAAATTCTAGTAACCAGCCAATTAGAATTTTCTGCATTTACGCGAATAAATAAGAATACCTTTTGGTTTTGGAGCTCAAAAAATTTAATAAATAAAATTTATTATATTTTGTTTAAATAAATACAATTTGAAATAAGAAAAAATTGTTGAAACTTATTAAAACAAATTTCCTAAATTTTGTCTTTACGTTAAAAATTTGATTTCATAATAATATAAAATGTTGCATCGGTAAAAGATTTTGTTTCAAAAATTCACTAAAAATTTAAATAGTAGACCGTTTCAGAGATAAAAATTATCCTTGATATGAACGCGAATGCAAATTGTTAAGTTTCAAGCATAAGTGAAAGGTGTTTTCTTACCCGTGCGGTCGGACTTGGTCTTTTCCACCGCTGTTACCCGATTTATACTCAATTTTTTTTGTCATTTCATAATGAACAGACTCACAAATCGTAAGAACCTCTTACCAAAATAATGGTTCACATCCTCAGTGACACCGCAAATTGCCGCTGTATCAAAGAAGATGCTTGATGAGTCCATCTGCCATCGCGTGGAACAATTGCAGCTGTGCCCATGCACTTTTTGGAAGATATTGCGTAAGGATGTTGGTTTGCGGACCTTGAAAATCCAACTCGTGAAGTCGAGCGACCATCAAGTGCGCTCCTTCAATGGAGCTAAAACGAGATGGCGCCCAATTCCGATTTTCATAAGAATTTTATTTTTTCATCGATGACCATACGTCACGTCTAATGAGTACGTTAACAAATTAAAATTGTGCAAAAAGTGATCGAAAATTGGGCCTCTCGGCTAGATTTTATTCGACCCAGCCGCGGCGGTCACTTGGTCGTAATCATTTTTAAAACATAACAGCAAATCCTTATCCCTTTATTAAAAGCTGAATTTTTTTCCATTAAAAATATGTCCAAAATGAACACCCTTTATATTAAAACAAAATGTTTAAAAGTAAAAAAAAAGTTTTTCTGATAACTGAAATCCAAGTAAATTAATCAATTTATTCAAAATTCAAATTAATTCTTTAAAAATACATAACAAAAAACTAGAGAAACTAAAATTCTAATAGTTTAATGATTTTTGATTAGACTCATATTAAAATTTTGGCAAAAGGCTCGTTTCTTTATTCTATTTTCAATGAAAATTTCGACGGAGATTCATAGCTCGCATAGAACGAATTTTTTCGATATTTGATTTTCGGCGGTCAGCGAAGATCAAAAGTCGTTTGATTTTCAAAAAATTTTATAATTTATTAATTATGAAAAAATTCAATTGAAATTGTATTATACATATATACAAATATAATTTCTCATTAACGGTATTGTTGTGTATAAAAATTTATAAAAAAAAATGTGCAGCGTAAAGAGAAATGTATTCCTGGACCAAAAAATTGTTTTCTACAAAAATATTTATTTTGTTTATAAACAATTAAATATATACAAATTGATATTTACAATAATTATTTTGTGCTGTTGAAAATTTAACAAAATTATGGACCATTTTGCTTGCAATATACATATAATTCTTAACTATAAAACATACTTTAAGGCGCTAAAGGGTATGCTTTTATTAATTTTTCAAGCCGTATACGGAAATATTTCTCTTTACGCATTAGACAAAAATAATAAAATTAATAATAATAAATATATAAAAACCAAGAAATTAATATAGTTAATTTAATAATCAAGAAACATATATTTATGCACAAATAAAAGAAGCAACGTAGTTATAACCATATATATACATATACATATACATAGAAAAATACCAAATTACCTGAAAAATTAAAAAAAATATATAAATAAATATATTAAATGTATAAATAAATGCATTACATATGTATAGTAAATACATATGTGCATATATACAATATTTAGCCAAATGTGTAATTATTAGATGGTTTTACCTTTATTCGTCTTTTCTTTTATGGACTTTTAAGCAAATGTAACCAGTGGCAATTATTAAATTAAATAGCATACGAGTAAATATATATTTGGAAACAAACAGATATTCAATTGTATATACATGTATACATATGTATAATGCCTAGATATGACTTATGTAATACATATATACAGTGTTGAATAAAAATATGTATGCAAAAAAATTAACAAAAAAATTATTTCTACATTTCTGCTTTCGGCGCTAAAAAGATTTCAGAAAGATTTCAAAAAGAAAAACTAGACAGACATTTGTTTTTTATAATTAAAAATTCTTTAGAACTCATATTCTGTCCCGTAGAGTGCTCATCAGCGCCGAACCTCGTTTGAAGGATAACGAAAATGGGATATAAAGTACATTTTTAAGAGAAAAGCTTACAGTGGTCATAGTCAACTTTTCTCAGGGCACCAGACACTAGAAAAAGTAAAAAAAATATAGTTTTTTCGAAACCGAAAAATTGATCATCATGTAGACTTAACGGAATAGTATAAAAATTATAGCAAACAAGAACAGCCCTGACTCGAACCATAATCCTTAAACAGGAAAAACTGTGGCCCCATTAAACCACATAAATACAATGATGAGAATCAATGAGAAATCATACAGCTAAACACTGACTTGCTTCGGCGTGCAGAGCATTGCATGAGGGCAAACCAAAAAATTTTAAGAAAATGAAAAAAATTTGTTTCTGAACGCCTAAATTGTTTAAAAAAGTCTGAATATAAATTTTTAGCTAAAATAAAGATAAAACGTAAGTAAATATCTAAGCTTTGAGGTGTTTGAGGGAGTGAATGCTCAGAAACATGGCAATAAAATATACTCATATTCAATGGCTCTTGAAAGAGTTCGGAGGTGAATTCCATTATTAGAGGTGAAGCGGGATTACCAATCTTATGAATTTATGGGTGCAGCGTTGGGGGTGATCTCCGGGTGAGAATTTGGTGATGTTGCGGGGTGACCATTCTAAGTAAATTAATGATTATGGGGGTCACTCTTAAAATTTCAGGTTATGACTCTTGCGAAAAGTGTTATTTCTCTGTATGAAATTTGAACTGGAATCGATATTTTGGTAGTTTTTGGCGGAAAATAACTATCGTTAACCAAAAGTACATATATTTCTTACAAAAACAAAAAATGGAAAAAAATAACAAAATAAAAATCATTTAATGAGAGGTAAAAAAATTCCTCGTGTTTTCTTTTATTTTTTTTTCCAAAGGAAAACGTCTCCGCCGTTTTTCATGGGAAATTTTATTCAATTTTATTGAGTTTTTCCTTGAAATTACTAGGTGAAAACACCTTTATGTGGAATAAAGCAAAGGCAAATTTTAATGAATGAGCAACCTTTTGGAAAAGAAGAAGAAAGGACCTTAGCATTGCTCAAAAGTAAGAGAAGAGCACAGCAAATTTAACAAACTGCTTTATTTATTGCATTTTTCATTTATTTATTTACATAAAGCATGCATATGCTTCCACTCCCCACTGATGAATGAAGATTTTCAATGCTACATTTAATCATTGTCCTTCCCACAATGGTTAGAGGACACCATTAACTTGAATTTTGCAAATTTGCGCACAATGTCCCTGCGAGTATTCGCAATGTAAATTAGCACAAGTGTTTGGAGAATAAAGGAGAACATACAGCCACATACATACAATAATCAACTACCTAAGGTTAGCCGAATTGCGGTGAAAGGACATTTTGGTGTGAGGACATTTCGCTTTGCTCGAATAACACAGCGGGTCGCAGGTGGATATTTTGTAGATTTTCAAACAAAATTCGCATTGTCTTACGCAAAGAAATTAACAAAGCGAGTGGGAGGTTTGTCTGCAATGCAGTGTTTGCCAAGAAAGTGCAGGTATTTGTTTCTTCTTCTTATTATTTTCTTTTTTATATTCAACAATTAACATAGCTAACAATATCTTTGGAAAATCGCAGCAACAAAAATTTTCAGCGTACAGAATAAGTAAGTGCATCTTTCGGTCCTGCCCGATGTGACAAGGCCATGATCAGCCGACCGCATGCCGACACCGACCGACGGACATTGACACTCGGTTCCTATGTCAAACTGTCGACTACAAATTAGTTATTTAGTCCCTTGTTTTGGTTAATTGTTGGACATATGTATGTATGCATGTCCATATGTATGCCAGAGGCTTGTGGCATATATGAACTATCATTATGTATGTATATGGGTGCACAGCTGTTTACTTGTCAAGTGAGTAGCGAAATCATTTCTTGAAGCTGTGTATATGCTGTACAAGGACTGTCCCACAGAAAACGAGACTGAGCCAAAGAAAAATATATTTCTCTTTTTTTTTTTAAATCGCTTCGACATCAGGATATGATTGCCTTTCTAATGAACTCAGCGAAATCATTCGGAAGCGAGTCGAGTGGACAATGTTCGTTATGATCGTTAAAACGAATTGACATTAATTTTCAGGATGAGTTTCTTATCCTGCTCATTCCTGATATATATTATGTAAGTATTAGACTCCGTAGTACAGCGT